TTGGGGCAGAGTCAGGGAGGCCGGTGTGTGGTCAGCCCGCCCCAACTCCATCCCCAGGCCAGTCTAAAATGCCAGTTTTTATCGGTCCTCTGTTAATTTTATAGGATTTTCTTATTCCTTAGGCAAGGAATGTGCAAAGGTGATTTTGATAGGTCCTTCCTCTGAAATATAACCTACAGTACCTGGTATACATTGGTGGTCTCCTATCCACGTGCTAAACAGAGTTTATTCTGCTTAGTTTCTAAGATCAGACAGGATCTGGTGCCTTTAGGATATTTAGGCCCTGCCACAAAACTACATTCCCTTTTTAGTTCCCAAAATCATGGGATTGTTTACTGATTACAGTTGTACGGGCTATAATAAGAACTTGAACTTGGAGAATTCATAATTAGCTCAGAAATAATAAATAGGATCTAAACCCATTGCATGCAGGGAGATAGAGGTAATAATTCCTGCAGAGACAGCATTTTTCCAAAAGAATGGTACTTTTATTAAGAGAGAAAAATAAGTCAATAAGCAAGCACACACATACATGCACACACACGAGAACTCAGGAGTCAAGTATAGGAAACACAAGGCTTTCTAATGGTGATAATTACCTGAAAGGAGGCTGCTCCAACAATGAATGTAGAGGGATAGACTCAACCATTATGAAAAGGAAAGGACATTGGATAGAACCGGAGACTCTAGTCAGAGATCACAGTATCATCATGAAATCTATCCAGACTGCCCCCCCCTCCGGTGCCTGAGATTTTGGAGAGCATTTATACCCTTAATCCTAGCCTGAGGTGAAGAGTTGCTATTGTATATAAAAGGATTCCGATTGCTATGCTTTGAAGTAGACAGTTTCTAAAAGAGAGGAGATAGAATGCTGATGCTATCTCATCATCAGCCGGGCACATCCTGGCTGTCACTCATAAATCTTCTAGGTGTGAATGTCCTGCTTTGCAAATGGTTGTAAATGCAGATGTGACTCTGGAGTGCCTACATGAGGCTCACGGTTTGAGCTCATGGCGATGAAGGCTCCTTCCAGCCTAGGGTTATGACAGAGACCCAAAGGGGTCTTTATATCAAATCAGTTATCGTAACAGTGCAGTCCTTTTCCTTCTCCCCTGGCCCCAAAAGTGCACATAGAACAATGGGCAAACATCCTTCTGACAACAGCTATGAATATTGCCTCTGGTCATTCTGTCCATAGCTCTTCTTGGTTGGGTGGGGCTCAGGCAAGTGGCCATGTTTTCTATTCACTGGTGATTCTTCTGGAATTTTCCTGCATTGGATAACTCCATTGCATCCTTCCATTAGGATACTATCATAAGAACATAAGACCCATGTCAGATCGGATCAAAGACTTACCTAGTCCAACATTCTGTTCACAAAGCAATCAATCAATTGCCCTCAGGGAGCACACAAACAGAACATGAGTGCAATAGCATCCTCATGCTTATGTTGCTCAGCAACCCATGTGCAAGGGCATCATCATGACCAATGATGGGTATCTATACCATGTATATGTACTCACAATGAGGGCCTAGGTCTAGTCTATCTTATGGACCAAGTCTTCCTATATGATACCTTCTGTTTGAACCTGTCAGAGTGCTGAGATGTTCAGCAGAGGTGCATCTGTCAGGCCCACCACTTCCATTGATGGCAATATGACAGAGGGTCTTCTTGGTAGTTGTTCCTAGGCTGGAGTAGTGATGTAAATTTCTCTCTTTATTCTTCTCATCCCTGATGGGGGTGGGAAATTTTATTGCTCTTCTTGCTCCTCTACAGAGAGCAAGATATTTCAACTTGGTTGCCCCTCACAGATACGTTTCCTGACAAATTTACGAAGGATGAGGGCTATACCTTTTTTCTCCTTCTCTAAAACTCACTTGTTTTTCCTTCCCTAACTCTTCTTGCAATTAGTGGTGTGAATCAGTAAACTCCATTTGCAGTGTCTAATAGGAAGAATGGCCAGTGTTTATTTTTAGAATGGAATTCCCTCTCTCCCTCCCCTCTTGCAGCCCAATGGACTAATTCAAATTGTTTTGACTGAGACTAAAATGAGGATTATCAAGTTATTTGGTGATCCTACTATAGCTGTGTGTGCTTATGTACGGTGTCAGGTACATGTGAAACAAGCATGCATAGATATACTTTTATGATATGAAGCTAAAATGGATGTTCTGGTGGTGATTGCAGAGTGCCATAAAACACTCAGCAGTCTTTTCTTTCCACAGTTTCTAACAAGGAAGTATGACCTGTTTTATCATTAGAATTGAATCCCTCATTCTCACACTCCCCTTCTGCAGCTGTGTGGAGTAATTCAATTTGCCTTGATTGAGACTCTCACAATTAAAACAAATGGCTGAGGCACTGTTATGTCTATTACTTAAGAAAAAAAGAAAATAAAAAGAAATAAAATAAAAGAATAACTTTTTTTCCACTTAAGTATCTGTTATTTCTTTTGCAAATGAAGTATCTGAAAATTCTCACACCTCAATTGAGCAGGTGCCAAATTTCAGAGCTCTTAAATACCTGAGCTGAGCATGGAGAACCCCCAAAATCTGATATGTTTAATGAACAGCAACAAGCTTTTGTCACATGCCTACTTTGGAGTTCCATATTTAGGGAAATTAGCTTCCTTTTTGCTGTCTTTTTATTGACAGAGTATTGTCTGAGCAGGCTTTTGGGAACTATTTTACAAGAAAAGTTCCAGTTTTTGCTCCTGTACAAACTGACTTTAGGCATATCCAGATTGATTGAAAAGCCCCAGATTTTGTTCTTTTTCTTTCTGATTTTATACTGGGTTAAAAAATAAACTGATTTGGGGAACAGATTGCCTCCAGGTTCTAAAAAGTCTCTGATTGTACCAGGAACAACAACAACAACAACAACAAATTTCTGGGATTCACAAAAGGTGTATGGAGTGCCAAAATGGAATTAGAAAGAACAGGAATAAAGTCTGGAACTTTCTGGTCTTTTAAATTAGTCTGGATGTGCCAGTTATTTTGGACATCTACAGGACATTCTCCCCCATCCTGAAATAGTCCTATGAAATGTCGTGCATTATCAAGGACTTTTTATTTACACCAGTTCCTGAAATGGCTATCTGTGGGGTTGTCCACATGGGCCCATGTTTTCCCATGCCTTATTTAGAAGATGTTCCCCTCTTTAGATGATGCAGGCCAAAAGGCTTGGGCCAGGATTGGGCTGGATCCTGGTGGATCAGACATGGATCTGGGAGATCCAGCCAAATCCTAGGGTTAACAGCCTTTACTCTGGATCAATTTAACTTTTGGTTTGCTCTGGAGTTTCCTGGAAACACCACAGAAAACCCTGGCTGTTTAAATGCTGCCCCCCCATGCTCCTCACCTTGCTGTACCATCACTCCTACTGAGAAGCCCCCCATCACTGTGTTTGATGTGAAAATGGGGCACCTGGGCATGTGGATGCAGCCAGGCACCCCATTTTGGCATCAGACACAGCAACAGAGGGATTGTCAGTAGGAATAATGGTGCAGAAAGGTAAGGAGCACATGCTGGTAGTGGGTCTTAGGTCCTGCTCAGTTCCGCACCTACTCGGGGACCAACCTGGGAGAGCTCTCAGACCATCTGCCCATCTGCTCAGCCTGGCCCATCTGCTCAGCCCATTTCTGTTATACCAGAACTAGCCAAGATGGATGTCACAAAGAAACTTTGGGCTTCCAGCCACTTTAGAGGCATGCCAGTTACATGATGCATGCCTCCATAGTGACCAGAAGCCATGCTGAAGCCCCAGTCCTTAGGACTTAGTCCTTAGGACTGGAGCAAAAAGGAGCTATGAAAACCTGACTCCTGGCTGGTGCTGGTTGGGCCCTGTGTTCACGGTCTGCCTTGGGAGGGGGTTGCATAGACAATGGGGTTCCAACCTGCTTCTGGATGGAGCAGACCTGGGCCACTCCTTCATGCCCATCTGCTCCATCCCACAGTGATTGTTTGCATTACCCAGATTCAACAGAGACCAAGTGAGGGAAAGAAGAAGGGGAGCAACAAAAGAAATTATTCTAATGCTTAACTAGTATAATATTGCTAAAGCACTTTAACACTTAGACTATGGCCCTTTGCAGACTGCCAGAAATAGTGCAAATTGAGTCCACTTTAAGGGTTAGGGTTAGAACTAGGGAATCATGGGAACTGTTTTTTTTCTGAGACATTGAGCCTTCTCTGTCAGAGAGCTCTGGTGCCACAATAAAATACAGTTCCCATGATTCCCTAACCCTAACCCTAACCCTTAAAGTGGACTCAATTTGCACTATTTCTAGCAGTCTGCAAAGGCCCTATAACTCTGGAATAATAATGAAAAAGGGCTCAGTGGAAATAGGTGAAAGTCAATTTCTTAAATGTTGCCATTGTCTAGATGTGATATGTGATCAGTGGGAGGGGAGGAATAAGAACAGAAGGGATGGGACAGGGTGGGAGACTCGGGATGTTTCAGGAAAGGGTTTGGATGCAAAACGATGAACATACAGGTAGAATTAAAACAAAAAGAAATAAAAAGTCTTGATACTTCCAGGGCGTTTTCCCCCTTTAAGGATAAACACGCAGTGGTTTTAATTGTATAGACAACATAATGCCACTTTAAATATAATTTTCACATATTTTAATCTACATGTGTTTTTGTTTGTATTTTTTAAAAAGTTTGAAACTAGACTTGAGTCCCAGCTTTGGGGAAAATATGGAGCATAAATAAAGTGAAACAGTACAGTACTAATATCCTCATTTTCCATTAATTCCCTTTTAAAAATATGCAGGTTGGTAGACATCACTATTTTGTTTGGTAGTGAATTCCACAGTTTTAACTATACGAAAATGCTTTGATTGCAATAATTCAGCACTGCTGCTTCCTGTTTTTAAAAACCAGTTTCCAATCCATAATAATATTTCTTTTATCCCATGACTGCTAACTTTCTGCAGGAGTTTTTGATGAAGGGCTTTATCAAAGCCTTATGGAATTCCAAATAAACAATTTGCATAGCCCAGGTAGCATAGTGGTTTGAGTGTTGGTCTGCAACTCTGGCGATCAGAGTTCAATTCCAGTTTGGCCATGAAACCCACTGGATGACGTTGGCCAAGTCACATTCCCTCAGCCTCAGGGGAAGGCAATGATAAACCTCCTCTGTACAAATCTTGCCAGGAAAAGCCTTGCTCATGATAGCCTTTGGTTTACCATAAGTTGGAAACGATTTGAAGGCATGCAACAACAACAGCAATGGTTCATTTCAATATGCACTGTTAGTGAAACTTTCAAAGAACCCTAAAGTGACACAAGACTTACCTTTGTAGATATCATATTTTTCACCAGTATATCTGGAAATGGATGTGTAGCTAACATTTTAAAATGGTATTACAGTGAACATTCCCCAGTCCAGCAAAAATGCTGATCTTATGGACTTTAAACATTTTAGTTAGAAAATTTAACAATTTCCACATTGAAATTTTTAAATTCATCTCAGGTGGATATCATATGGGTCTGGTGATTTTTTTTTTTTTGGAGTCTGTCAGTAACCTTATAGAACTTTCTGTCTTTGTTGGGGATTCTGCAACTTAAGCATGCTGATCCTTCTAGGAAGATAGATATGATAGTTTATTGTTTTATGATGCCTTGAATTTCCTAAACACTTCTTCTTTGTCTCTGGAGGAATCACCATTGTGTCCCTCCTTCTCCTTTTGTCCTTTGACCAGAGCAGCATGACTTTCTTGCATGCTGATAAGAAACTTTCTCTGCAAGCATATAGACTATTTTCTATCTCATTTTCTTTGCAACATGAAGCTTTACCGGTGTATGAATATGCACATGATTTTGTAAGTATGGGCCTTTGTAGACTGCTAGAAATAGTGCAAATTGAGTCCACTTTAACTGCCCTGGCTCAGTGCTAGTGAATCATGAGAACTGTATTTTTTTTTCTGAGACATTGAGCCTTCTCTGTCAGAGAGCTCTGGTGCCACAATAAACTAGCTTCCATGATTCCCTAGCACTGAGTCAGGGCAGTTAAAGTGGACTCAATTTGCACTATTTCTGGCAGTTTGCAAAGGCCCTATATTTATCTTTCTATATTACTCAAAGAACTTTGTTTTAGTTCTTTATTGGAAGACACATGGGGGCTGGAGAAATTCAGCTCTGGTGGCGCAGTGGTTAAATGCCTGTACTGCAGCCACTCACTCATAGACCACAAGGTTGTGAGTTCAATACCAGCCAGGGCTGAGGCTCGACTCAGGCCTTCAACCTTCTGAGGTCGCTAAAATGAGTACCCAGATTGTTGGGGGGCAATCAGCTCACAGTTGTAAACCGCTTAGACATCCCATGCGCGATATGAAGCGGTATATAAATGAAGCTGCTTTGCTACTTTGAAGATTAAAAGTGGACTACTTTGCTTTTTCCTGCTCATGCACTTTCTGTTGTGTTCCCTTTGCTGGTGAGATTAAGGGCCTCGGCAGATGGCTAATTGTGCTGTCTCCAAGGCAGGGAAGAGGAGGGGCAGCTGCACACTCGGCGCCCCTTCCTCCTCCTGAGGTTGCCCTCAGAGCCACTGGCCCTCCGCACAGCCGGCGCTCCGAGGGCAACCTCCCGCCGCAGCGTCCGCACATGCTGCAGTGGATAAGTCAATGAAAGTGTGCCCCACACTTTTGGGGTGCACTTTCACTGACTTGTGAAAGGAACGCTGATTTAGTGCTCCTTTCAGGGGCACCAACGGTGCACCGTGGTGGGGATGCCTCGGTCCCGCGGCGCACCGTCCCACAGCGTCCCAGAGCCTCTCATCTGCTTCCCCCCTAAATCAATTTCTCCTATTTTTCCTGAGCTTTCTAATGAATCTCAAGAAAAATTCCATCGGTCTTGTTGATACTGTACACCTTAGCTCCTCATTCTCTTGTCCCAAAATAATCAGTTTAGGCACTATATTCTCAGTAGTGAAAACATATGGAAAGAATTCACTTAGCTTCTCTGTATTTTATACTTCTTTAGTATGGTGAATTCCTTGTTGTCCAGTTGTCCAACTGCTTCTTATCTGGTCTTCTGCTTGTGATAAAGTTAAATAATTATTTATTATTGGTCTTGATGTTCTATATGCAATATTTCCATCACTTCCTCTATATGTTTGCAACATATGTCACTGCTTATATAATTGTGAAGAAGAGAGAGGATAAATTCTGCATAGAATCTCCTTACTGGTTTGACTTTTTTTTTTTAAAACTCTCTCTCTCTCTCTCTCTCGCCACACAGATTTTGGGAACTGGTGTTTTAGGGGTTCATGTCATGCATTTGTCCAGAAACAAACCCAGTTGGGAGAACAGAGCATTGGTTTTTCTTCATATCCCATAATACAAATGCTAATAAAATAAAGATAGTAATTTTTATGATATTATAGGGAATAAAATAAGGGAGTACAAATACAGAACACATTCTCCCAATGGAAGTGTTTGAGTGCACACCATTTAGTGAAATAAATAGAAACACGTGGACATGAGTACACTTAAATAACTTCAATAAGTGCTTCACCACAGGAGAACAGATCCACTAAAAATGCCTGTGTGTCTCATCCCAATGACTGGTATACCTATGGGTATCAGATGTGTACATGTATGCTGGGAATCCCATGACAAGGAATGCTGTATGTAAACCAAAGGGATGCATGGAAGAAGCACCTCCTCATTTTCAAAATGATACTTTCAAGAAAATTCGTGAAACATGGTGTTCATGGTGTTCACATGAGATAGCAAAGCAGTTTTAGGAGTGAATAAAAAGATAGGAGTGATGCTTGATTGTTTGCTAACCAACCAAATCTTGCTGCAAAGACTACTCTAGGATTGCCCCGCCCTCTCCTATAAAATGTGCTTTGAATTTGAAATAAGTTGTGTTATTAAAAACTGGACTTGGAGAAGGGAGTTTTTGGAGGAGAATCTGAAAAAGCTGCACACTCTATTAATTCTATCCTGAAAATGTTCACCTTGCCATTGGAGTTGTGTAATGTAGCTATACAGTCAGCTGGAGCCCTGCTGATTGTATGCCTAGAAAGAAAGACATACAGAGAAAGGAGACTTTCTCGTAGTCTAGCCACCATGTTTGGTAGGGGCATGAGAGAGATCCCTTTCAACGGCTGCTCCCACACTCTGGAATGCCCTTGCATGTGAGACTAGGCTGCCTACCACTCTGCTTGCTTTTTGTCAGATGTTTTTGTTCAAGCAGGCTTTTAATATGGACAGTGGGCCCTGGGGTTTGGTTTCAGATTTCCATGTAGATACTAAAATTCATGGATGCACAAGTCCTATTATATACAATGGCACAGTAAAATGGTGCCTCTTATATAAAGTGGCAAAATCAAGCTTTGCTTTTTGGAATTTATATATATATATATATATATATATATATATATATATATATATATTAATATTTTCAAGCTGTGGGTGGTTGAATCCATGAATACAGAATCAGTGAATACAGAGAGCTGATTGTAATTACGGTACTTTCAGGGAGGCTTCTTATTAGAGTGTGTGCTAGGCTTATCTTTTTAACTTTTTATTTTTTAAAACAATTTTATATTGCTTAAACAAAAGAATTCTAATTGCTTTTCAAATGGCATTGGCAAGTTTTTAACCAATTTTATATATGAGCCACCTTGGGTCCCACCCAGAAGAAAGGCAGCATATTAAATAAATAAATCAACAAATAAATAGGTAAACCAAGAACTGGTTACATCAGTAGGTGGCTCCAGATAAACATAGAGTGGAACTCTGTAAAACTATATTTGGTGGCCATAGTTTCTTCTTTGTAGACAGGGTAGTGAAAATAGGCAGAGAGGCAAGTTTAGAAAACAATTTTATTAGACAAATTATTTAGACAAATTATACACAGAAAGCTCTGCCACTTGTAACTGAGGCCTCCAAAATGTGTTTGTGTTATCAGTATAATAGGCAACACATTGAAATAATTGGTTTTTCACTAAAATCACTGTAACACCTGGTATATCCCTATAACTTGTAAAGAATTTTCTGTCTTTTTTTGTTTAATCAGTTGAGTAGGAGCTCATGAATGTTACAAGGGAAAACAAGTTGTGCATGCTTTTAAACACTTGTACCCTGGGAAACAAAATGGCCTTTGCATGATAAGAAAATTGTTCTGCCTTACACAGTAGACAATATTATGAAGATTTCATACAAAAAACAGTGACAGTACAAGATGCTTTCCCAGAACAGAATTAAGCATCAAAATAGAATAAATCTGAATAATATACCTTGAAATTTGTCCTAAAGCAGATCGCCTAATTTGGTTCCTATAATCAAGTCCTAGCCACATAGTTGAGTTAGGTTAAAATAAGTATTTTTAAAAAGAAAAGAAAAAGAAAACACAAGATCAGTTGGCTTGCTTTCTACTTATATCGCATTTTAGTTTTTAAGGATTACAACTGAAAGCTCATTTTACAGTTCTAAACAGGTAAGAGAGTGTTAGCTTCAAAAATGCCACCCAGCCAAAGGAGGCACTATTTTTGCTGTCATCGGTTTATCAGTCTATACAATTGGCACTCACATCAAAAATACATCTATAATTGTAATAAAGATTTAAACAAGAGCTCATTCTTCTCCTTTCACTTCTTGGAGTAATATAGGATTGCAATTAAGGCCACACCAATATTTCTCAACAGACTCCTTTTTCCAACTCACACCACATCTGCAATGATTGATGGCATTGATTTCAACCTTTCATGATCTGTTTTTCAGGCTCCCATGAGAGCTGAAAATTAGCACCCTCTGGATATGGTTTTCATCTCTTTCCATTTTAGCAAATTAATTCAGAAGTAAATGGTTAATGTTAAGCCTTACACACTGCTCAGTAGCCAATGCAAAAACCTAAACAAATGAGTTACACATCTAGGAACAAACATTACATTGCCCTGGATGTTCTAATTAAAAAAGTAGAAAATGCTTTATCAAACAATGCAAATCAGAATTACATTAAAGCACCCTGCCCTTTCTTGCTGAAGAGACTCCCTGTCCTGTACATCTTCCCAGTATACAACACATTTTGACTAAAGCTTTATTAGACAAATTGCAG